ACTAAAAACGGGCTATAGAAAAAATAGGCTCACCCAGAACAATCGAGTTGGTCTTCCCCTTGACATTCACGACACTGTCTGTGCATTTGTAGATGTATATAGATTCCTTGATCTGATTGACATTGACAGTGATCTCCTTATTTCCCTTGTAGTTTTCCTTCAAAGAAAAACAAAAAATGAATCACGTTTCCCTAATAAATATGTATACACAATCGGTGATATGGTGTGGGAAAACCCCTAACTCAATAGAAAGATGCATCGAGGTTGCAATAAAGTCTAGTGACTTGTCACGTGATGTGGGTTCGTCTCAAAGTGAAATGGAAGTTCACAAACCGTACCATACGAGATAAGTTACCCGCCACACAGGTCTACACGATTGGAAACTAGATAGCGGACTCAATTATATAGCTTTAAAAGCAAGGCAGCAGGTAGAAGAAAGACGCCGAAATTTCACTCGACAACTTATCGGTTTTTTAATGGTATGAGTCCCAGAAGGAGGTTAAAAGACGGAGAAGAGGGGGGGAGAGAGTTCTGCAAAAAATACAAGGTATGCAAGTAAAAACAGGCATTCCTTAATGATACATAGCACAACATATGGATGACCGAGAGCGGTATCTGACCACAAAACGTGAGCGGTGGGGCCGCGAAGAAATCACATGTGAAAGCAAAACCGAAATACAAAAAGCCCCAGGTGAAGTACACAAGCCAAACACAGCTGTACATATTTGACATGGAGACGCCGCCACTTAAACGGGTTCATGTATAATACGGGGAGGTCTGCAGTCTGCGACTCCTATCCACTTGATGCTAGTACCGCGATACGCCAATAACAGGTCGACAAATAAGCCGGCACAGGTTTGCAATGAAACAGAAGACTTAAAGACCGAAAGCAAAATGGGGCGTCTTATTTAGTAAAATAACCGCGAAAAACTAATAAGAGGGTGTGACGGTTTTTGATAATATAAAGTACCAGAATCATAAAAAGTGCAGCTTATGCGCACGCGGACCCCCCGAGGACCTGCAAAAGACTATGCATGGGTGTTGACGTTTACACTTTCGGCTACGGCATTGCTCAACTGTGAGTTTGTGCAGTACAATTTCTACGATGGCTTGCCAAGCCAATGACAATAATGGTTCCATTCTGAACAACAGATACTTGAAAAGGCTTTTTAAGGGAAACAGTAAGATAGCAAAAAAGATTTACTAACCCCAGCTTCAGTGTCACCCACCTGGCTAGTCTATTGACAGCGTTAATTAAGACAGGCTTAGAAAGGGAACTTTGGCTCTCGAGGGCTGAAGGAATGGGTGGATGACATGCGCAGGACGGTGATCTATTACTAGTCTTCAGTAGGTATCCATAACGGCGGTAAAGTTATATTTTCAAGACATGACAAGTTAGCGGTATTATTTTCGAGAGACCATGAATTCTTCGTCATTTCGAGCTCCCGAAGGTCCGCAGAGAAAACAGGTCATTTTCCGTAGGCAAGTTCAAATCTCTGCTTTCGTATGGAACTTCCCGCGCAACCATAGTGATGAAACATGTTGCAACGGTCCATTACGAAGAAAACTTTCAGCTGCATTTTAAACCTTTGCTATAGCGCAGCGTAATCGTTGCTTGATTGTGTTTGAAATATCTTTACCTTTAAAGGGTAGGGATATAATAACGGGCTTCCTCGCGACTGTCTGTTCCGTCAATTTTGGCTGTAAAGAATTCCTGTACTCCCGAATGAAGCGTGCAGATTAGCCACACTCAAGTAGGGCCACCTTCATACAGGCAATTTCTGCAGCTAGGGTCTTACTAGAGCAAATATTCCTCACTCTTTGAAAAAGACGGGTTGCAATTGACAATTCGTCACGAGGTTTTTTGCGGCAGATGCCTGTTTTACAGCATCGTTGCCAGTATGTGGCGGGAAGATTTGGGTGATCAGCGGTCCCGGTGACAGCAAGTCAAAGTGCCAAGTAGTCGTCAGGTCACAAATCGGCAACTGTGGGGTAAGTACGGCAATTAAGGACTCGGGTGTGGACCAAAAAGCGATTATCGCATCAACTACGACTTTTAGGATTAACAAGAAGACTGCTAACTACAGTATGCGTGTTATGGTCTGGCAACCGCCTTCTATAAATACGGCGCCACTTGGACTCCCTATTACCCTTTTCTGCAAATGTTTCTGATATAGGTTCGATAGAGATCCCGAACCATCAGGCCAATAAATACAGTAGTCGCCGGGTATC